CTTCATTTTGAAGAAAATAGTGAACATGTTTATTCTTCAAAGTAGAAAACAAGATACTTAATCGATACTCATATTAACAACGTAAACCAAATATATTTAAGGAATCACAAACATTATGTTGGAAAACTACTAACAAACTATTAAGAATAATATAAGAACTTATGTATTACACATTCTAATTTGTATATTTGTTTTCTTTATATCAAATGTGAGCACGTGTTTTTCTAATTGGTCCAAACCAATAATATGCTTAATAGAATTTTGAGTCACTAAATTCAATACGCAACAGTAATATATGAAACCCATCACCAATAATTGGCATTAACAATAATGGTTATCTATGTATCATGGCTCTTAGCCGGCCAACTGTGTTAACTCCATAAGCCCTTCTTTATTTATACATGTTCAACTTCTTCAGTGAACAGCTACCTAGAATGGACGGTTTCATGGGCCTCCTAATTTAAAATTTACTTCACTTACACCAAGGACAAATTATGGGAGTTCATTCGCAATTTTGGGAAGATTCTAGTGTTAAATAAACCTAATAGATAATAACAAACACCAAGTGAATAATCTATCAAGTAAATAATAGAATTAATCTAAGTAAATTGAAACTAATAATCCCCTATCAATACTCCAATGATTTGGCACCAACATGGATGGATTGAGGTTCAGATCAAAAGTCGAAAATCACACGGCACCACCACACAAATTGAACCAAAGTAACCAATTCAAACGGACCACAAGAATACCCAAAATCGGCCAAGAAAACTACGCACAAAATGCAACAGAAAAGGGACCGAAACAAGGGCTAAAATCGTACACGGTAAAAAAAAACCAAGGTCCAAGTCGTCGGACAAACAGAAGGAACAGCAGAAGATAACCCACAGAAGGGCAAAATACAGAGGCCAAACAGGTCACGAACAGAAGCAGCCAGAGATGAAATCATGATGTACAACCAATATCGAGAGGAAGCAGCCGTGTATGTTATTTCGACACAAAGGGAAAGACCCCATTTAAATACACCATATAATAGGTTAAGTAATGGGTCAAGCTGTGGTCTTGGTCTTTCTTTGTAACTTGGGTTACCAGGTGTGATTTTCGACTCAACACAAAGTGTTTCATTAATTGACTTACGAAATGTCTAATGAATAATTCTGACCCGAATATTCATCATCGCCCTGAGTTCGTTCGGTATTAAAATATCCAACAAACCTCCACCTTGATGCCAAATATACCTGCAAAGAAAAGAAGAAACAAATTAGTGGTTGTACAATATGATTTCAGAATAAATTGAACATCATGTACCTCTACCAATGTTTAGAAGCGTAAAACAATTTCTAACCTTTACCAAGGGGAGCACGTTAGTACGCTAAACCATTAACGTTTCAACAATAATTTTGACTCGAAAAAATTGCA